TGGAATAATTTGAATTATGTACTAAGTTATCAGCCTGTCACTGCACATGGTAGAATTTGGAAGGAGTGAAAACAGTGTATTATGACATTTGGATGATGTGTCACACTGATGAGAGCACTTCAGGATCAGAGCCAGAAGAAAATTGCAGTCATGTCATGTGTGCCTTGCATGACGGTTGTGCTGAAACGCACTAGAACTGTGGGCACGGTGGGGACGAGTCAGCATGCTGGAGAGACTTTGCAAAGAGAAGGATTTTTCACAAAAAAGAGCAGCTCAGTCTTGTCCATATGGATGCCGAGCTGGTGGGAAGACAGCTAAGTGAAACTGTCAGGTGAAGCATAATACAGTATTCAGCCTCGGTGTCAAGGGGGTCAGAAGAAAAGGTGGCATTCATGCTTTAGCAATGGTGGGAGGCATGGGAATGTGCTGACAGCATCAAGCTGTTGTAATGATAGGAGACTGGAGCCAAGAGAACACCGCTGCTGAAGATGCACAGTGTGGACAGAATCCAGCTCAGTGATGTCTGATAAATGTGGTCAGACAGGTAGATCGTGAGCCACGGTGCAGACTCTGCAATCCTCAGGTCAGCAGTAAAGAGTATGTGTTGGCTGACAGTGTCAGAGACGGTGGACAGGATGACCACTAAGGACGAGGACAAGCGCAGTCTTATAAAAGCTTTTTTGAGGCCTGATCCAACAGAGGGTGGGTGGGGATGCAGCTGTTGTCATTATCAATTAACATGTTGTTTTTCATCAATTTAGCCTAAAAAATGTCAACACCAATGACATTTTATCAAAACACTGCAGGGTAATTGATACTCAATTAATAAAATCAAGTCTACTACTACCTTCGGCTGTTCCCGTTAGGGCTCGTCACAGCAAATCAACTGTTCGCAAGTATACATTTGGCACGTGTTTTATGCCAGATGCCCTTCCCGACACAATTAATAAAATCTAGTACTCTTCTAAATTTGTGACACTAGAGTTTTAAAGTTATCCATTTAATTAATATGCAATTTCTTCTTTTCAATCAGTCATTTGTCTGTATAATATCAGAAAATAATGAAAAATGCCAGTCCAAAGGGTGGAGAAAATACTAAACAGTTAGGGTTTTGAATTGATAATCAAACTGATGAATCGATTACCAAATTAGTTGAAAGATTATTTTTAATGTGATCCATTATTCAGCTAAATGTTTCAGAACTAGTCCATAAAATGTTAGGAAAACCTGACAATGCCCAAGAAGTCAAATCTTCATTCTTGATTGACTGTAACTGTGAGTAGATGTCATTTTTTTAGAGTCCAAACTGACGAGCGATTAGTTAATTTAGTTGCCATTAATTTCATAGTGTCTCATGACTGATTAATTGACAGCATTATATCCTACTAATAGGACCTATATTGTGTTGATTAGCTAATAATGCTGAAGAACATGTTTTTAATAATTTTTTGGGGGGAGGAATGTGCTTTGAATTTTTAGTCTGATTACACCTGCTTTAAGTTGCTTTGCCAGATGACTACTGTCTCATGTTAACTGTTTTCACATATATGAAGAGGAACACATGAGTACTTTGAAATTCCAAAGAAGCAAGTTAGCCATCTGTGAATGAATGGATGAACACTGTTCTTCAGTGATGATATGGAGGAGGGATGATGGGATAGAGCTGAGCTGGACTGAGGTGGATTTGCAGGGAGGCAGATGTTCCACCATAATCCAAGGGTTTAGAAAAAGATGCAGTGATGATGGAGGGCTTGATGGCAGCTTAGAACAACATACAAGCCTCCTCAAAAGATGTGTGGCTTGGAAGAGAGCAGGCGGGAGTGTTTAGACTGAAGTCAGTAAGAGAGGAAATTCAAAGCAAAATATTTTTGGTTTATGTTGCAGCAGAGGTGAAAAGTATAGTATATAGGCAAAGAGGGGAGGAGAAACTTAAGATGCCACTCCCTCTGCTGTCGGTTTGAATTGAGAGCATACAAAAACAGCTATAGGCACTGCAGGAGGGCCGTCTAATCGGTCTTAAAGGGCTGGGTGTTTCAGTGGATTTGACACTCAACACCTTCATGTACAGTGGTCACTGTACTTGTTTTTATTCTTCTTCGTCGTCGTCTTCTTCTTTCCACAGACCTATCCAGAACAAAATCCTGAATTACTGAGAATTGATTTTTGAATTTGAGTGTGTTTTCTAGAGGGACTGCTGTACACAGCCTACTGTAATGAAACCCCTCAGGACATCCACTAAGTGTTTTTGGCACACTGTCACTCAGCAGCTGGCGATTCACAAAAACAAGCATATGATCAAGGCTCTGAGGCCACACATCACTTCACTTGCAGTAAATACATGTCAGTTTAACCTTGAGGGCTCACTGTTATCCTCAGAGCTTTATTAGCATCAGATTTAAGGTTAGATTTGTTTATTGCGTTGTTGGAGTTTGGTGACACACCAGTAGGTGGTGGTATAGGCCAGCTATTATTTATTGCTCACTATCACTGCATTGCACCCAATTAACCGCTATGACACAGCCAACTAACCTAAATCATAATCTCTCTATGACACAGCCATCAATTTCCTCACACATTAGAGCCTACACTCCCTCCACTGTATCCAATAAAATTGCAAGCCTCCTGTAGATATACAGCACACAGAACTGGAAGACTGACTTCGGTTTTAGTATCTTGTCCGGTGTAATATTCTTTTTATTTGAAGCGAGACAGCAAACAGCTGTTGTGCCTGACGCACCACCTCGGGGTCTTCCCACTAAATTTAATGGCTCCAATGTACTTTATCTTTCTAACATGACAGGATGAGAAAAGAAGTTGGTTTTCCTTCCCCAGTCCTGTATTCACAGGTGGCCACTTGAGCCACAGAAGAGCACAGAGGGCTGTGGACAGTACTGAGGTGCTGGATTTGGACAATAAATTCAGTTAATCATAGAGGCGGCAAAGCACTGTGGGTGTTTGAAAGGCTTCTATCTGTCTGGGTAATATGAACACAGTGGTGCATAATTGCTCCACTGTCTTATCCCCCTTTGGTAGTAAGGCCTGAGAAGATTGAGAATATTTTAAGCCTTTCTTTCAACCAAAAATAAGGACTGGAAAGGAAACTGAAAAATCTTTTGCCGGCCCCTTCCGTCTGTGTTTTGGCACCTTTACAAGTTTTCAACACTGTGCCAAAGACTGTCTGTATACCCCACTGACAGTTAAGCAGTGGCACATCGCAAGCCTAGACACATACTGTGGCCCAGTAATTAGTGTGTTGATGAGTCACTGATTCACTTGTGCAGCTCCTTGATGTTTTCTAGCATCTGGAGAAATGTTCAGATTTTACTTTTTGAAAGTGTGAACTTTTTCACTGAACTTTCGTATGTCTGATCTTTACAGTAGAACTATCTCCCTGTGTCCCTATGTTTCTTATTGCATAACAGCAAGCTCTTTTACCATTTTGGTAAAAGAGTAAAAAGGCCTGTTTTTGTCCAAACCACTGCTTTCATTAGTCAGGCCATCTGTATTATTAGACTAGGGCATCAGTGAGATTGATCAAGCACAAAGAGAAGACTGCTTTTGAAGTGGAACCATCCATCTCTTCCTGAAACAAGCATCTGCATTGACAGGAGCAAAGCAACTGTAAGGAAAGGAGTAAATAACTGAGCTCGGGAACAAAGCTCACAAGACGGGGCTCCCAATTTCATCTTCAGTTTCCAGTCAGCAATAGCTGTGCATGAACTGACAAAACCAACGTTGCTGTGAGCAGCAGGGGAGAGTTTTGTTCCTATACTTCACATTGATAAAAACATTATGGTCCTGGGTGTATAGAAAAGGTAATGGAAAATAGAGGAAGATTTGTGGTTTGTGACAGACCTTAAAGCCTTTCTGCACTTCACTGTGGGGGCGTGACTTCTTTCGTTTATTGCCGTTTGTCTCTTGAGTCTGAAGTAGCCACAGACTTGTTATAGAGCATCTAAAGTGGTGCTCACACAGTATCCATGCACGAAGTGCTACAAAGGGTTGTACAAGCAATGAAAAGAAGAAAAAAACCAAACCTGAGAAGATGAACAAAGTACCCAGATGTGAACTGAAGACAGGATTATATTAGGACAAATAAATGACTGATGAAATTGCTAAAACTGTTTTAAGAAGCGATTGACTTTAAATGTCCCAGCTCCCAAGACAGGTTCCTCTTGCACCTGGGCCCTCACACAATAAAGGCTGGTCACCTCTGAATTTAGACCAAGTCTTTACGCGTCCCAGTAGATCTCAGTCTGTGCTTCAAGCAGCTCACACGGGGCTTTAATATCTGTTTGCTGCTAGCATCTGCAATCTCATGTCTTGTTTCAGTGCCTTTTGCATTCCCCCCCTCACTGATGCACCGGGCTGTCTCCTGACTTCAAAATAGGCTGTTCCTTGTCTGTTTAATGGAGGGCAGCATCATTTCATTTCAGATTCCAAGTTAAAACCAGTAGAAACTTTACTTCATAAATATCATCCATTTACCTAATTTAACTTTCAGTTTCCATTAGTAGCCACAAGATTTGTTTAGGCAGCTGGGAACTGGTGTGGTTTCTACAACCCCAAATCAGAAAAAGTTATGACGTATGTAAAATCAAAATAGTGAATTGTAAATCATCTGTGTCCTGTATTATATTGAAAACAATACAGCAGCACATTATTTGATTTGATACCTCATCGAGCTTATTCTTTGCTCAAAATAAATACTCACTTCATTTCTGATGTCTGCAACACATTCCAAAAGAAGATGGGACAGTAAAGCATTTACCACGGCGTGATGTTGCCGTTCCTTAAAACGTGTTTAGGGACTGAGGACACCAAGTGATTAAGTGTCTAAGGTATCATTTTGTCCCATTGCCTCTACCAACAAGTCATAAGGTGCGCAATAGTCCTGTGTCTTCATTGATCCAGTTTGTTTCAAAACATGCCACACATTCTCTATTGGGGACAGGTCGGGATTGCAGGCAGGCCAGTCCAGCACTCACACCTTTTTCCTCCCTAGCCAGGCCTTGGTAATGTACAATACGAGGTTTTGCATACAACATATTGTTGAAATATGCATGGGTGTCTCTGGAAAAGATATCATCTTGAAGGCAGCATATGTTGGTCCAAGATCTCTGTGTGTTTTTCAGCATTAGTGGCACCATCACAGAAGTGGAAGTTACTGTGTCCTGTATTACAAAACAACACAGCAGCACAGTATTTGATGTGACACCATCAATTTTATTCTTTGTTCAAAATAAAGACTCACTTCAATTTTGATACCTGCAACACATTCCAAACAAAGTTGGGACAGCATAGCATTTACCACAGTTTGATGTTGCCGTTCCTTTTCACAACACTTAAAAGACGTTTAGGGACTGAGGACACCAAGTGATTAAATGAGTCAGGTGTCATTTTGTCCCATTCTTCCTACAAACAAGTCTTAAGGTGCACAACAGTCCTTTCAAAATATGTCACACATTTTCTACTGGGGACAGGTCAGGAATGCAGGCAGGCCAGTTCGGCACTCGCGCCCTTTTCCTCCACAGCCAGGCCTTGGTCATGTGTACAGTACGAGGTTTTGCATTGTCTTGTTGAAATATGCATGGGAGTGCCTGGAAAAGACGTGGTCTTGAAGGCAGCATAGGTTGCTTTAAAATCTGTGTTTTTCCAGCATTAATCATGCCATCACAGAAGTGTAAATTTCCTTTGCCAAGGGCACTGACACAGACCCCAGCTTTTGCATTTGTTACAGGTAACAGCAACATGGCTTGCAGAGCACATGGCATCCATTCCTTCCAAAAAAAAAGACCTGAAATACTGATTCATCTGACAACAATACACGTTTCCACAGTGTAATGGTCAGTCCCAGATGTACCGAGCCCAGAGCAGTCGACTGCGCCTCTGGACTTTGTTGACATAGGGCTTCCTTTTGGCACAGTACAGTTTTAAGCAGCATATATAGATGTAACTACATAATGTAGTGTCTGACACAGGTGTGCCACAGTAATCCTGAGCCCATGTGGTTGTATCACTCATAGAAGAGTGACGATTCTTGATCTAGCACCATCTGAGGGATCAGAGAACACGGTCATCCAACTTAGGTTTGTGTCCTTTACACACTGAAATCCCACCCGATTCCTTGAATCTTTTAATGATGTTATGCCCCGTAGAGGGTGACTTATCCAAATCCCTTCCTGTCTTTTTTTTTGAGGAACATTGTTTTTAAACATTTCAACAATTTTTTTCACACCTATGTTGTCAAACTGGTGGTCCTCGGCCCATCTTTGCTCCTAAAGGGCTCAGCCTTTCCTGGATGCCACCTCTGTACTAAATCATTATGGTCACTTGTTGACATCACCTGTTTCAAATGGAATCATCAGTTCATTGTTTTACCTCATTACTGGCCGTGAAATGCAGCCATCCCAACTTTTTTTGAAATGTGTTGCAGGCATCAGAATTAAAGTGTTTATTTTGAACAAAGAATAAAATTGATGAGGTATCACATCAAATAATGTCCTGCTGTATTTGTCTGATCAGGGGGTTGTAATGCTAGATAAATGTAGTGACTAATCACATAAAAACAAACTGGTTAATTTGATTTATGTTGTAGACTAAGCAGTTTTTCTTAGCCACTAAATCTTAATGAGCTGGATTAATATGATGTAACTTTAAATAACACTAATGAAAAGAATAATTATTCAAAGGACAATGACAAAACCATGTTTCTCTTCAGGCTCTTACCACTGGCAGTATCCCAGGCTTCATTGATGTGGTCATGAACCTAAATTCTCCTGCACTGCTGGAAGACAACCTTATTTGGCAGGCCAAAACAGCGGGGAAGAGGATCGTCTTCTACGGAGATGACACCTGGGTGCGCCTCTTCCCCAAGCACTTCATGGAGTATGATGGCACAACCTCCTTCTTTGTTTCTGACTACACTGAGGTTTGTATGAGTCAGACATCTGGGCTTTGACTGTGTGACACAGGTATGAGTGGTTCACTTCTCAGCTAATATCTGTAAGGGATTAAAACAGCAGATGGATGATTATGATACAGGAAGTTTTAAAAAGTTGCATACCAAAAGAGAGATTTTCTATGTAATATAAGGTTTGTTATTATAAAGTTTGTGCTCAACATGTTGATGCTAATAGTTTTGCAACATGAGTTAATTCATTTCAGCCTCAGGTGGGTCAATTCTGTAAATATGCCTAATTTGCTTAAAGAGTAACTAAAACTCAAAACCACTTTTTTCAGCTGGAAACCAATGTATGCATGCATTCAGCAGTGTTGTCAATTGATTCAGGTCCATGTTATCTAGCTGTCTGAGGTCACTTGGATAGGTTGATAAACTTTGGCAATGCTGTAACTACGAAAGTGGAAAACTAATAGTAGAAGTTGGTAACTTAAGCCTGCTTACACCTAACTACGTTAGCCCGTTAGCATTAACAAGTAGGATAAGAGGTGAAAAACTAACATTACCTATACAAAATGTGAGGTTATGTCAAGCCATGTTGACTGTTTGGGACAGTTTGCCATTTTTGGTGGTATGCGCTGTATTTATTTGCATATATTCTTGTTTTATTTGGCCAAAACATTGCTTAAGCATTTAGATCTCACTTTACTGACTGGTATTTCAGAATGTATAACATTGGCACTGCAGATGAATTGATTTCTGTCCTGTCTGTGCTCAAACTGAGCGCTATAGTAGACGTTTGGATGTAGCTGAAGCATCCGCTACTGTATGTAGCTCTAGGGGATAGTATTTATTTTTCAAAATGTACTTATAGGTGTATGTAGTGTGTGTATATCTATGATGGATAATGAGCATGATCCCCCAAAATGGCATGTTTACCCAGAATGCAACACAGCATGACGACAACTTCACATTCCTTATATGAATGAGATTTATTGCTCAGCAGAGGCAGTACACAACAAACAAGCGTGCAGATAGGTCTACTGTTTTCAGAGCTTAATAATATATTTAGGTTTGACAAGCAGTAACTTTAACCGATAGAAACTGTGGTGCTATGCTACTGATACTGTCCAGATGAGAGAGAGATAGAGAGAGAGACACACACACACACACAGAGAAGAGCCTCCCCTAAAGCACTGTTAGCTCAGCTACAACTCGGGTATCCGTACAGTGACTTTCTCAAAAGGACATAAACATACTTGTAGTGGCTGTCAGAGCTCCACCAGACTCTGTTTCTCCAGAGAAAAGGAAGTTTCAATAGAAGCTTCTCAAGATTGATAGCTTTGACATAGTCCATGCTACTGTGTGAGTAACGGTCTGTTTGTGTCCTCTCACCCTCCATGTAACACCTTGCGTAGCAGTGAGGCCACGTCCTCTTCTACGTGCTCTTCACTCAAGAGCAGAAAGTTATAGACTGAATGTTAGTTACCCTTTAACATAAGAATGTTCTACAAATTGTGAAAGCGCTCAGACTTCTGCTGCTATACAATAAAGTATATTATTCTATTACCATAACCCAGTAGATACAGCACACACTAATGTAGTAATGATTAATTAAGCCTTGGTTTATCTTTCTGTTTTGTGTAAACTGCTATACATGTTTAATTGGAAATGATTCACTCATTGCATTATCTATGAGAGCAAGTCATCTGCATTGAAGAGATGAAGGCAGCTGATGAACCAGGGTGGCAAAGAGCTGAGATCACACACACAAGCTACTCATCAGTCAGCTCCATATGCCATAGCCATGAATGCACTGAGGGACTTTGTGCAATCTGCTCGTGTTTATCTTAGCATATTGGTGGTGCTGATTTTTAAACCCTTTCCCTGAAATTTTAGTTGAAGGTAAATATCTGACGTGAAATGATTGTTCAGTGATTGTCAGGCAGTTATCAGGCTTTATCACAGCTTTGAATGAAGCTCTTTTCAGGTCAGTTTTAGTTTAGGGGTTTATTGTCATTATGTCGACCTAGATTGATTGATTGTCATTTGAAATCTTGTGTATTTCCATCTAGGTTGACAACAACGTGACCCGTCATTTGGATAGCACCCTTAAAAGAGACGACTGGGACATTTTGATCCTCCACTACCTAGGCCTGGACCACATTGGTCATATCAGTGGACCCCACAGTTCACTCATCCAACCCAAACTCCTGGAGATGGATGACATCCTGAAGAAGATTCACAGTGCCCTCATTTCAAAGGTATTTTCTGATCCTGATCTCTGTTTATATGTTATGTTGCTTCTATGAGGTTTTGTTCAAAATTAACTTTTTTAGATTTTGTGAAATTTGTTCTAAAGGTTGTTTTGTAACATTGTCGAGGAAGATCTTGGAAGTTTATATGAAGGTTTAAAGTAGCACTAGTTACAGTTTTTGAGTTGCATGACTGTGTGTAATGTGACCACTGACTGTATATAAAAGATGGGCTGAACCTTCCATGGTGTCAGCCATTGGTTTTCTGAAGCGCGGTGTTGAAGCTCAAGTCTGACTGTTGCCATCTTGGTAGTGCCTAACTCTGACTAATCCAAGATTGGGCAAAAAGTTGGAGCGTGAGTGGATCACGCTAGACAGCTAAGCAGCTAGCCACCTGTGATGGGACCCTCAATCAAAACAGCCACATTCTTAATTATGCATAATTCTTAGTGTCAATATAATTTAAACGGGCGAGTTATACACAGTTGTCATGGAAGGGGAAATGAGCTACAGACACCAGAACTGTTTTTGTACCAGGCTGTAAATATGTTTATTTCTGCTGTAAAGTTTGGCATTTTAACATGGGAGTCTGTGGGGACTGACTCTCTTTTGGAGCCAGTCTCAAGGGGCTGTTTGAGGAAGTGCAGGTTTTAACACTTCTGCATAGGCTTCATTTCTCAGCCTCAGAGGTTGCTGCCTGAATGTGACGAGGGTTGCTCATAGCGACTCTTTACAGAGAGTTCTGCAGTTCTTTTAGCTTTACAGATTGAATTTCATTGTTTTGGTTTTATTTTTGGCAGCTGTGCTGTTTTGGTTTAGTCTCACTCTTCTTGTCCACCTACTATTTTGTGCAGCAAGCAGATGTTTTCAGTGCAGATGCTCTGACAAACCCACCAACTCCAGACAGTAGACAGAAAATGTTGGCGAGTAGGTTATGAACATGCAGATGCTATCAAGACTAGTTGATGAAGTCCTTGAAGGAATATGAATATTAGTCACATTCATCAGGTCACCTGAGGCACCATGCCAAGTGAATGCTACACAAACTCTGTGTGTGCTGGATGTGTAAATTGGCACGTGTTTGCTAATACTTGAGCCATATCAGTAGAGCTTCATGATATCATCCTGAGCTTTGGAAATTGTGATGGCCATTAACACTATTTTCTAACACTGGTCGATACAGCACTATATCAACAATAAAGCAAAATATAACAAATGTTTAATATTCAGCTTGTAGTACAGTTTTGTCCCCTAAGTGGCCATCAGGCAAGTTTTAGCATTATCAGATTTTGGACGGTCATTACACAGATAATTTGTACAATTCCCAATAGTTATTATGTTCTCTCCCCCATCAGCACCAGAGATTTAATAAACTGTTAAGCCTTTATGTTATCATTAATTTTGTTTTTAATCAGTGTGCAGGTATTGTGGCCTTGCTTTCTCAGTGTAGTACAGGGACATCATGTTTGTGTGTGTGTGTGTTAATGGGCATCATCTCACTTTCATTCCGCTGTGTTTAGATTGTCATGTCTACATGAGCCTACACTTTGCTGCTCCTGTTTCCTCCTTTTGTATCTAAAATGGCATTTCTCTTTGCTTACACAGAAGATGCCTAAGTTTTAGAAATCTGCATTTATACCTCCTCTTTATAAAGGTGGTGATTTGTCCTCCTTAAATAATTGCAGGTCTATTTCTAATCCATCAGTCTTGGTTAAAATCCTGGAAGCACTTGTGTTTAACCGAATAAAAAGTTTCACGATCTGTCCGAGCATCGGTCTGGCTTCAGAAAGCAACACAGCACCACTACTACTGCACTAAAGGTTGCTAACGATATCAAACTCTTTCTTGACAGTAAACAGAGCTGTGCAGCCTTATTCATAGATCTGTCTAAAGCTTTTGATACTGTGGATCATGCTCTACTAAAACAGAAATTATATTATAGGGCTGTCTGGCCATGCAGTGAGCTGCTTCTCTAATTGTCAGAGAGAACTCAACTTGTAAGAGGTAATGAACTTTGCTGAACTTGGCTGGCTGTTGTTAATAGGGTTCCACGAGACTCTGCTCGGACCGCTTCTATTTTCTCTCTATATACTGTTAACGACATAGGTGTAAATAGAGGCGGTGCGCATACCCATTGCTATGCCGATGATAAAGTTTCAGTGGTGGAAGAAGTGCTCAGATCCTTTACTTAAGTAAAGGAAGGAATACCACAGTGTAAAAATACTCTGTTACAAGTAAAAGTACCAAAGTATTAGCCTCAAAATATACTTGAAGTACTAAAAGTAAAGGCACTCACATTATGCAGAATGGCACATTTAACATTAATGTATTATATTACTGATGCATTATTGTGTACATCACATTTAACGTTGCAGCTCGTAAAGAGGGAGCTAGTTTTAACCAGATTATAATGTACCGCTGGGTAGCTTGTGAATTTTCCACCAGAGATGAATAAAGCCTTATTATGCTGTATTTTCCTTATTAATTTGATTCTAAAGCTATTAAATAAATGTAGTGGGGTTTAAAAGTACAATATTTGTCTCTAAATCGTAGTGAAGTTAAAGTATGAAGTAGTACAAAATGAATGCCTCAAAAATGTATTTGAGTAAATGTACTAAGTTACTTTCCACCACTGCACAATCATATATAGCTGCTGACTTTCACTTAAAGAGGCACTTCATGAACTTGTCTGCATTTAACATCTTGCTATCCAGATTTTTTTTTTCAACTTAAGTTTGTATTGAATGGAGAAAAAAAAAAAGCTAATGACTTTTTCCAGTTCAAGAAATAAACCATATGATACTTTTGACATTGTGACAACTCATGGGAAGAAAACTGAGGCTGTTACATGTCATTATAATATTTGGGAATTTGGCTTGATGCATGGCAAATTTTTAAACGGCTTATTGAAAAGCTGGTAAAGAAACTTCAGCTGAAGTTAGGCCAGATCTGCCAGGAAAAGACTGGCTTCTGCTGCTGCTTGTTTTTGCCTTTCCATGATTATATATGAAGTCCCCCACTAAATGCCTTCTTAAACCAAATTTTATATTACAGTTCATGACAATGCATCTCGAACATAAAACCTCTGACGACTGCATCTTGTATTCCAGAGTTGGCTGTGACCTCTCTCCATGCATCATTTGGGACACTGGTACATTTTTATTTATAAAGCCATAAGTTACCTCTGTAGATTTTTCTCAGAGTCCACCTGTTACCTGTAATGTTAGATCTCATGGCTCATATCTGTTGTCTGCCCCAAAGGTCTGGACAGGGATGTGAAAGTAGGTCTTTATGTGCTCTGCTTCTGCCATGTGGCACAGCTTACAAAAGAAAGTTGATCTAGCAGTTGGTCTTTTGCATTGATAAATGTCTGCTCCTGTTTTTAATTCGTTTAAACGCACCAATAAATGCGACTACCTCCGTTCTTAATTTTTCTCTGTCTTTCGGTGTTGGATTTAATTCTGTAATTGCATTGTCTTTGTCTGGTTCTATAAATGATGCTGTCTCGCCTGGGCCCCCATTGTAAAAGAGGTTACTAACCTCGGTGGGTTTTTCCCGGAAGAACATTGGTTAAATTAATTAATTAAATGAAGAGAAAAGAGGCCAAGTGCACATATCCTTGTGAAGTTTTCCTCTTTTGCCAAACATACAGTCAAGGGTATTTCTGGAAATGTTCATGCAACAGCTCACCACATTCCCACGGTTGTTAATTCTGTCTTGTTAGATCCTGTCTCTCCGGGCTCATGGCAACACTTTTGTTGTAGGTAATGGCAGCCTCATACGTGTTCCCACTTAAACTCTGTTGAAATGTGATCTGAAGTCTCACTTCAGTCATGTTAGAGAAAGCTGTGGCTGCTCTTTTCTACAGCAGCGGTGTGAACTAAAAATAGACACAGCCCGGTGGGGTCCCGCAGGATATTTCAGAAGCTTTCACAAAAACAGCTGTTTTCTCTGATCGGCACATGATCTTATCATGTTGGGTGGGTGCCTCCTCATCAGTTCACACATAAGGTGGCTGTTGTCTGCTGCTGCATCTTATCCGCTGAAAGAAATGACTGGCTGTTGTCTGCTGCTGCATCTTATCTGCTGAAAGAAATGACTGTAGCTGCTGTGTTGGTGAAAAACAGTGTGGCATTGAAATGGCAGCCCTCAGAGCTCCCTCAGTAATGTGATGCAACTAACCTATTTCAGCGAGCTCCTATTAAGGACAGACGGAGGCTCTACCTGCAGAGTGGACTGACGCAACACTCTCCATTAAAACATGATTGGGAAGCGGGACCTCCTGGTCATAAAGACTTCTGTCAGACCTTTGAGTTAATAGAGAGTGCATGGCCTCAATCTTCTCTCCTGGATAGCTCACATTTTAAGCTTGGGCTACTGCTTTTGCTGTTTGAAGTATAAAACTTCTTAAACTTGACCTGCAGAGCAAGTGTGTAATTTGAGCCGTGTGTTTAAAAGACATAAAGGAAATGGAGATTTGTGTTTGCATACCTTTAGAGAGTTATATAGCTACTCCAGTTATTTTAAATCTTGTGCTCTGACAGAAGACCTGAGCTCTGTTCTTTTAACGAGTTGCAACTGTATCGCCTTCTATACAACACATATGCAGTGTACCGCAGTGGTTCCTTGTCAGGTGAGCAATCAAATACCTGTTCACTGGCACCACCTCTCATGTTTAAATGAAAGAATTATTAGCTGGATGCTATTTAACGCTCTGTGTAATAAAAGTGTTGTAACATTCATGTTTTGATGTAATTGAATTGTCAGTCTTTAGGTTTACATTCATACTAAAACACTTGGAGTTCCAGTTATTTGACATACCCCCACAGCCTTATTGAGTATGTCCACTTTTCATGTTAATTATAAATATTTCAACAGTTTTTGCATAACTTTTAGATAACAATTTCAACTTATCCAATCCTTTTAGTCAACAAACTTTAGCCGTTTTACTACTTTTAGCTAGTAATTTCAACAGTGTATCAGTTTCCTACAGCTAACTATTTCAACTGTTTTAACACACTCCTGAAAGCAACAAGTTGTGTTAATGGGTTGCCTCAGGTTGATTCACAGCTTTCCAGTTATTACGAATGTACTGCATCACACTGATTCACAAACCTGTGTGGCTGTTTATTTTCCTCCTTTACACAAATACATGAATACATTTATTTACTCAATTTTCTGCCTTAGTTGTGTTAATGAGTAGCTTGTGTTCTCTGGCTTGCTCATGGAGAACCTGCACTATCATCTCATTCAGCGTAGTACCTTGTTGATTGGTTTAAAAAAGTGTGAAAAAGGCTCATTTGCTGCTTTCATCCCATACAACATCAGTAAAACTCTTGACTTCTCCTAAAGAGACATAAGGCTGCATTGCTCAGGGTGGGACTCAGTGGTATTTAGTACAGGTCTTGAGGTGTTTTTAGTCCCTTGTGTCCAGTGCTGTTGATAATGAGCATTCAAGAGCTAAAATCCAGGACAGTGTGTAGTGTTTCTCTCCTTCTCTGCTGAGTGAATAACTAATATAATGAGTCAGTGGAGTACAATGGCATAGTGTGGCTGCAAGCTGCGGTGTTTGCTCAGTGTATTCATCACGTTTTTATGTCACGTTCAAACAGCGATATGTTACTACAGTGCCAGGGACAGACTTGTGTTCTGTTAGCTTTTCCTATGTATCTGTTTAGATAGTCATCCTAAATGGAATCTCAGCCGTTCAGGAAGCATAACCTTTTCTGTCTTTCAAGTGGTCTATTAATTTGTGCTTGGTAGGATACAATTTTTTAATCATAAACGAAGACTGATCTGATAAGGCATCCCTGTTGAATTCATAGTCATTGGATAGTTCTCAGGATTGTAGTTGAAAAGGGAATCAGGGTCAATCAATCAAAGTCTGCCATCCTCAACAAATGATTCATTTTTGCTCTATCTTTTTTTTTTTTTTAAGTCAACATAAAATGAAAATGTGCCAGAAGGTGTTTATCATGACTTACTTTACAAAATTACTCTTTTCATACCTTCCTTTTTGCTGGTACTCAATACCTCCTACATATTAACATAAAAGATATCTGGTGAAGCCGTCTATTACCCCAGCAGCCTTCATTTTTTTGCTCTCGCTGTTTTCCGAGCTGGATTTATTTTTTCATTTTGGCTGCTGACACAGGAAGCATTTGGTGCCAGGTTTAAATTATTCAGCTGTTAGAGCTTTGAGGCTTGCCCTCCCATATCAGCACATACAGTGGCAGTTCATTAACCTTGAAGTTTGCTTCTCTCAGGAGGCAGAGGGATCCTTGCCCTACCTGCTGGTGTTGTGTGGAGACCATGGCATGTCAGAGACCGGCAGCCACGGAGGCTCATCAGAGCCGGAAGTCAATACGCCCCTGGTGCTCATAAGTCCTGCCTTCAAGAGAAAAGGTAAATATTCTAGTGTTGCCTAAAGAGGCAGAGGGCAGAAGATTTGTGTTTTAATCATACCATGGCTGGTGATCTCAGTTGGCATCCTTTACACGTCCTATTACAGCTACACCGTGTCAACTCACACACCCATGGATAAGAGTTTATGTACTTTTTGTTTTTAGTAGTTATTTGAACCACCTGATGTGTCTGTCTACCGCTCCACCTCGCTGGAGAGAATGTGGTTTATTTTTGCCCACAGATACCTTTCCATTAATTGTAGTGTGAATAACAGTGTCATCTCAAAAGAGTGCAAATAGAAGCTCCTGAGTACAACTTTACTTTGCAGAGATGAATGTGGTTGTGTGAAAGTGTGAATGTGATAATTGCTTCTTTCTCAGCCAAGTCTATTTTTGAGATCTTTTTTGCATAGACTTTTTTATTTATTTATTTATAGACCATTTATGCTAATACTTTAAATTGTTGCTACAGAATTTATAACTTTGCTAGCACTGTGCACCTTCTGTGGCTCCTAAAACTGTCCAGATGATTTTTTTCATCAAAACAAAATGACAAAATAAGTCCCTCCTAAGCGCTCTCTGCTCCTCCCATCACAACCTGCTTCCTGCACTGGCTGTATATAATAGATGGACAAACCCTCTGTGAATAACGCATTGGTTTTTTTGAAGCACAGTTTAGATGCTCAAGTCTGGCCATCACCATTTTGGTAGTCCTTTACTCTGCCCAACTCAAAAATGGGCTCAAAAGAGGTTGAGAGAGAGAGTGGAACTTGCTAGATACAGTCCTAGGGGCTAGCCACCTGTGGCTGGACCCTCCCACCTGTCTCTGTGTTCACACCCCTAATTTGCATAACTTTTAACCTCCGTATAATTTAAAACAATGAGTTGTATAGAAATTCACCCTCCGTAGAGTTGGCATGGAAGGGGATATTAGTTAGAAATTATATTGTGTACGCTTATACAGCCACATTATTCTAGTTTTTTATTTATTTATTTATTTTTTTATCGAAACTATTTTAATTTGTTTTTTAATTGAGTTGCATATATTATAGGTCCCATTAAAGGTGGCACAAATTCTGAAGTGATTTTTTTTTTTGCATCTCATAAACCTGGCATTTTAACAGGGGTGTGTTTCTTTAATGTATCAGGCAGTGCAATCAGTGGCCTCATCAGCGGAACTGGTTATTTTTTATCATCGTGAGAATGGTGGGTCATTAGGAAGCTGCTTGTTTTCATTAGAACATTTTGGCCTAAATTGGAGTTTGTTACTGGCTCAGTACTTGAGCATCACTTTTCTATTTGAATGTATCCATGAGAACACGGCCCTCTTACCGCAGATTGGTGGGAAATGTTGTCAGCGTTGTTGGGAGGGTCCTGAGAGACGGTGCCACTTTAAACACACAGCATAGGTATGACAAACCATACTGCCATTGTTTACCTCTATAGCTATCCCTGTATTTTCCTGTGCTGCAGTCAAGGAAAGCCAATAACTGAGAATGGATATGTTGATAACTTCCCAGGCTCAAAACTCACAGCAACAGTGGTGCAGTCACATCAGTAACTGATGTGTTTTGATGCAGTGATGGAAAAATGTCGACCTAGTGCCGTGAGAGAGAGATAAATGAACTGTTGCACGCCTTATACACATTACATACAGCATGTACCAGCAGCAGTTCAATCCCATCGGAACCAATGTGGAGCCAACTGCTGTTATGCGTTGAGAAAACCTGTGTTACTGTTCCGACTTTTATACCAAGTTGTCTCCAACAGGAGCCAATGCCAGACTCTGTACACAGTCACATTAGGAATTTACAAATGGTTATAATGATGGTATTTCTAAGATAATACTACTGTAATGGATACAGTATGGCTTCATCATCAACTGCTGCTTTCTCATCTATGAATCAGCATGTATCTGTTCTCCCATAATGCCAAAGAGTAGAGTACACCCAAATGAAATGTTGTTCTTATAGTTGTTTTTGGCGCCTGTTTTAGTCTATTCTTTGTGTGAAGCTGTCATTTTAGTTTTTATTAGTTTTAGTCACGTTCATACTCTTTTTAGTCAGTCAAGTTTCAGTCAACTAAAGGTCTGAGCATTTGTCTTATTTTAGTCAGAATTATCCATGACTATTTTCATCTAGTTTTAGTCGATGAAAATTGTATTTGTCTCTTTTTAGTAATGCAATTCTATTTAACCCAGTCAATATAGTACAAGTACCTAGTAGTATTGACGAAACCAAAATTTTCTTTTAGCCAACCCATTTCATCTTTTTCCACAACACAGTCCGTTTTCTTTTCCAATTCTATATAATGAAATAACGTGAAATAACATTTTGTTTCATCTTGTTTTGGTCAACAAAAATGAAGACATTTTAGTATAGTTTTTATTTTGTAAGCCACATTTAGTCTCGTTTTTTTTCGCCAACAATATTGCATTATACATTTTATTATAGTCATCGTCACATGACCAGCATTTATGTTGCGTCTCATCACGTTTTCGTCACGTGATAAAGGTTCGTTGATGATGATATTTAGTCACAATTTTCGTTGACGAAAGCAACACTAGTTGTTCTAAAGAGCTTTGGATGTAACAGTATAGACATTCACTGAGATTTAAACAATTCTGATATATGCGGTACATCTATGGCATTATCTTGAATAGATTTGGGCTTAAAACAGCAAAGTTTTTGTCTTGTTGCAACAAGGACAGTTCCCTTGCCTTATTCACTGTGTCCAATTATCAGATTAGCTCTTAGCTCTGGGGGTTGCCCCAGTCTTTAGTCTGCCGCTGTCTCACTTCCCCACATGTGAGCTGTATTATTCATTCATAGATATACTTTCCCATTGAGCTCAGTATTCAGTGTTCACTTTTACGTTCCTATTTCATCCAACTTTTTCTTTTTGATTTCTCATTGAACTTATTGTGAAAGTGTGTCCAAACCTTTGACTGGTATTGTATTATATAAAAGTACAGTTCATTATTACAGCCTGAAAGCATCACTCAAGCATAGGCAGTTTGGGAAATGACTCCCAGTCTCTGTTTGTATTCCTGAAAGCCCTTTTTAGAGGTGTGTCAACATAAAAAATGGTTGATGCAAGACAGGTTTTGAAAAATGAAAGCCATAATTCATATGATAATCATTTCATTTCATTTGTGTGTTTTACATGTTGTGACAACCCTCCACAATGGTCATACCCACAGACATGAATACAGAAGTAATTATGAAGGTTGTTTGTGTTCAAATGTAGGCTTTTGTTACAATCCAAAATAACAGTGACGATCCCAAACAGAGTTAACAAAGCACTAATGTTACACAAAGCTCAAATTACTCCCAAGTTGAAATCCTATTAATTCAATACAAAGGTAAAATCATGACCAGGGTGCTAATGTTAGCAAAACAAATACATTAGCTTTAGATGCTAATGCATCCAGAAGGAAGAACGCCACATCTGAATCAAATCTGAGTCATTTGGCTGCTTTTAACACTCTTCATCTCAAGATGCCAAACTGATGTTAACCCTGGTTTTTGTTCTTTCTTTGCCAATGAACATCACGTCTTCACTCTGGAAGCCGCTGCTTCTGACTTCTAGCTGCTGAAAGCTCCTCTATGCCTGGCTGTTTGAAATTATTGCACACAGCTCAAAAAAAGAAACGCTTCTTATAACCTTCACTAGGTGGTGGGCGGTGCTAATGACTGGACCGACTATCAAAACAGAGGCTAAAGAAGAAGGAATAACAACAGAAGTGCTGTAGGCAGCAGCGTATCATGGAGAAGGTAGCATAGCTGAGGGACATTTTCACTTTATCACACAATGTGTAAAATCTTAGTTAATGCACCTTAAAAAAAAATAAATCAAGTGTCCACTGTGGATAAACAAAGTAGATGTTCCACCATTGCACCAAGGTGTGGGATATTTCAATCTTAAGTGTTTCTCTTAGGGTATCAAATTTATCTTGATGAATACTGTGAAATTCTTTGAGACAAACGCTTTTATTGTGTGACTGGAAAATTCTTCCATGGCAGACTATTAAAATTGATCTATTTTCTCATGTTTATTGTGTAAATACTTTTTGTCTATGAGTTGCTTTGAAGTAATAAAATGTCTTATAATAAATATCCATTTTGCTATGTCAGGGACACTGACTCATACAACACAATTGTGATTTGACATTTGGTTAGAAAGTGTTTCCATTTTCCATGTGTGAGACTGCAGATGTCTAAAGTGAAATATCCACACACAGAAAACGTTAGGAGTGGAATTTCAACGTCTTAGTATTTTTGGAATAAAAAAAAAAAGAGAAGGACTTGGTTTAACTTTGGTTGAACAAATAGGAACAGAAAAGACATCACAGACAGACACTGACTGACAAATGATGGTTGGAAAACAACATGGCAAAACAAAGAACTCCAAGTAAAAATGCACCTAATTCATGTGTCTCCATTTCCCCAACATGGTTCTTAGAACAGTTTATGCTCACTGCTTTCTTGTGTGTTTTTTGCCCTTTCATGTCAGTGGCAATGGAGAAGCCTGGAGTGGTGGAGCAGGTTGACCTGACTCCAACCCTGGCCCTGGGACTTGGTCTGCCCATATCTCAGAACAGCGTGGGCCGGATCATCCCGGGTGTCTTGGAGGAAACCTCACTCCGAGACCAGCTGCGCTTCCTGCATCTCAATGGCCACCAGCTCAGCTGCCTGCTCAGAGACAGCATAGCCAACTACGAGAAAGGTGGGTTACAAATTCACTGCAGCCAGGACCTTGTTTGATGGAGACTCATCATTATGCTGTATTGCTTCTGGGCTGGTGTTAGTATCAGTGGCTATTGTTTACCAATAGTATGAAAACGGTGCAAGTCAAGAAGTAGTTTATTCCAAAATAAAAATCCTACTGTTTTCTCCTGACCCCCTTTGTCAGGCAAAATTCTAGGTTGAATCTTAATTTCCTTATTTTTATCTATCCTCAGTCCTCGATCCTCACTCAGTTCACATTATCCACTTATTAAATGGTGACATAACATTCTGTTTCTGGGTCCAAACTTCAGTTCATTGTCCTCAATTTAATGTGCCACAGTGTTGTGTTCCCCATTGTTTCAATAGATCTGAATAAAAAAAAAATCACAGGTCAGCTGTCATTTTACCACTTTCCTTGTGATGAGAAGGAGGAAAAAGAAATGGTTACAGTTGATTAGGCAAGCCATTGCATTCTTAAATTAATACTTTAATCCTTATTAAATGAATTAAATAAGATGCTAAAGGTGTGCTGTTTTACTGTCTCTTAATGTAGCTAGCTAGTTGGCACGAAATTAATGTAAACACTATAAATTGACACATTTTATGGTGATGAAAGTAACGGTAAAAGCTGGGGACTCTTAAAAACAAGTTAGACATATAACACGATATATATTGGAATAAATTTACTGTGATGTGTAAGTTTGGTTATTATGACACCAGGTAGAATCGCTATGCTGACTACTGTATTTGTCTTGAAAAAATGTAATCCTTTCTTTACTCTGTGTTGCCTTAATAAGAGGGTTACATCTCAGCCTTCAGAACATACAGTGTCCAGTACACGCAGTATCATGATCCAGATGTTTTACTCACAGCTCACCACAAGATTCTACTAACTGATACTTAATCTGTTTTATATATGGAGTTACTATCCACCTATTACTCACATTCAACTTAAACATACTTAAAGCTCCACCACTTAGTATTTTGCTATTATCAATGGGGCAAATGCCTGTTTATATTGTGTTGCTCATGGTGTCAAACCCACAGAGGCACAGAGGAGCACCATCTGACCCCC